ATCTATTCTAAATATAGGAAATGACACATATTCTGCAGGTTATAGATTTATCCTTGAACTAATGATCTTCATTTGCCTACCAAAATTGACATGTTACTATGATCTCTTTTTTAGTTATTGGCTTTAAAGGAGTAGTTATCAAATATTATTCAAGGGTATCAGGTAAGCCAACAAGGAAAAAATGCAACTTTAGAATGAAGAAATAAGCTCTTATACTATGGAGGTAGCTGGTGTTAATCATGCCGTGCACAGAACAGATACCGTTAGTTATGCCCAGCAGAATGGGAGAGAATTTTATGTGAAACTTTGAAAAGAAATTTTGTACTCTTTATTCTTTTTAAGATTTTATTTATTTATTTGAGAGACAGAGAGGTAGAGAGGGAGTGCATGAGCAGGGGGAGTAGCAGGCAGAGGGAGAAGCAGGCTCTTCACTGAGCAAGGAGCCCGATGCAGGACTCTATCTGGGATTTAATCTGGGACCCAATCTGGAACTCGATTCCAGGATCCTGGGACCATGAAGGCAGATGCTTATCCAACGAAGCTACCCAGGTGCCCACTTTGTACTCTTTAGAACGTTAGGACATCAGACTTTCTGTTTAGATTGTATAAGTTTCTAGCAAAGATGATCTGTATAAGAGATTTGGAGACAGTTCAGAAAATGAGAGAGAACTGCTTTGAAGATGTATAGGAAGAAAATGCAGAGCTTTGGGAAGGACATTTGTTTCATCGTCAATATTTCTTCCCCAATTTTCTCTAAGTGTTGCATTTGACAAATATTTCTAGCAGTTATGTTTTTCATGGAGAGCTTTCTACCATATGTGCATAATCCTTTGAAGAAAATGTGTTGAACCCAAGAATTATAAATAAAGACAGAGAAGTAGGAGTAGGAATATGCCAAAAAGAATCCACTCATACTACCTTCATAGACAGGACTTCACTGGCATTGCCACCTGGATTAGGAGTGTTTCTTGGGTGGTTTTATAATGTGCTGTGTGTATTTTATATTGTTTTTTTTAGAATAAAATCTGTTTTTATGTATCTCCTTCCCCTGTGAGTGAGCACCATGTTATGCTCAACACTGAGTCAAGTCCTGGCCCAGAGAAAGAACTCAAGAATTGTTTGAAATTATTATGTAAATGATTAAAAAAATAATGAATAAAAATCAGTCTTAAAAGTAAAAATTGATACCTATGTTTTATAACTCAGTTATATACATTGTTAACTCACAGCAGATTAAATATTATTCATATCTATTCTTTTATAGATGCGCATAAGAAATACAGTTTTATAGATAGTGTGGGTAGATATTTCCTATTAATATGTACCAAGCAGCTCTTGTTCACTTTTCACCAAATTATATTCCACAGTTTGTTAAGATCGTGGATATAGAATTACAGGTTCTGAAGTTTGCTTTAGCTCTGTGGCTTCTACATTGAGCTCTCTGGTGAAAATGTGTGTGGTATTTATACCAAGTGAAACCATGGCAATGAACCATGTAGGATTGGGGCTCATGGGGAGCCATAGAGCATTCTGAAAAGATCATGGGCTTTGGAATCCTATAGCTTATAACTTTAACATTCAGTTCTTCCAGTTGCTAGATATATGAACTTGAGGAAGTAAATATCTAAACCTCTCCCGGTTTCCTTCCCATGTAGGGTAGGCATTGTTTAAAAATATTTTATGAATTTTGGCAAACACAATTATTCAAGGAAATAAGACATAAATCTGTGAGAAATAAAGGGCAAATAAATGCATATATAAATAAAACAATGCCTCAAAGAACAGTAGCTAATTTTTTCCCAACCTAGACTGCAGCAGTCATTCCTTTATGCCTCTTTGTCTTACTAGGCCACAGTTTTGGGGTTTTGTTTCAGCTCTGTAAATACATTGCAGTCTTCCTACCTCATGACTTTCATACATGTTGTATCTTTCCTTAAAAGCGCTTCCCACAAACACACATGCACACATATTACCATAACACAAACATATGTAAGCATCTTTCTATAGAGTAGGTACTTCATGGTTTGGGGTTTGTGTGTGTGTGTGTGTGTGTGTGTGTGTTTCCGGCCTAATATGTCACTTCCTCAGAGAAAATGCCCCAACCACTTCTTAAAGGAAGTCTCATTATATAGAAGTACTTGTATTTTCACAGTATTTCAGACAATTTACATGTTTATACTTATTGTTTTTGTTTGTTTGTTTGTTTGTTTGGTCAGTGTCTGAGTCTCAACTAAAATAGGAGTCCCTTGAGGCCAGGAATTATTGTCTTCCTTACTCACCACAGTGTCAGGAGAGTGCCTTCAGAGAGGACAGGCCCAGGGAATGTCTGTTGACTGACTAGGTGAATACTGGAATGAATCAAATGACAGAAAACACTGACAGCATTGGTGAGCATAATTAAGTTAGTCTCACCCCACACTGGTTTGTAAATTAGTATCTACTGATTCAGTAGTCATCTTTCACCCAAAGAAAAGTTGAAAGTTTCACTTCTGTTTGATATTGTAAGAAAGGGAAATTTAGAAGTTGCTCCTTTTTGAAGCTACATGTTGGTGTTAGTGGATTAAGGTGAATACAGTATTATTATAAAGTTCCCATCGAGCCATTTCTCTGGGGCCAAGGGTCATTTCTCTTTCAGTCAACATTTTTGTCATCAATGATCACTGTCTTCTATCTGTGCAACTTCCCTGTCCTCCACTCCACCCCCAAATATTTATTCTGAGTAAAAGGCTCCTCTCCACCAGGGTCCAGAAACAGAAAACTGACCATTAAATATCCTACATAGATATTTCTTAAAAGAATGTATCGATCCTATTAAGAAAGATTAATAGGCATAGAAATGTACTAGGACAGATTTGTCCTGTGTTATTTTTTTGGATGTAGCGTAGAAAAAACTAGTTAGTCTTTAAGGGGAATTGTCTGGTATATTTGTGGTTTTCAGTATGCTTTTTGTGGACCTTAGGAAATTCCTCTTCAAGGAAGTATTTTCTTGTCAATACAAGGTCCCAGAAAGCTAAACGACTGGGTACTATGCTTCTAGTCAATTCACAGCTCTTCCTTGCATCTCTTTCTGGTTCATATTCTATGTATACAGTGAAACTTAATTTGAAAATACATAGGTTTATAAAACCAAAAGATAGAAGCCCCATTCCTATGTTTATCTGAATTTCTTCTTTTCTTTTTTTTTAAAGATTTTATTTATTTATTTGACAGAGATCACAGGTAGGCAGAGAGGCAGGCAAAGAGAGAGAGGAAGGGAAGCAGGCTCCCTCCTGAGCAGAGAGCCCAATTCGGGACTCGATCCCAGGACCCTGAGATCATGACCTGAGCTGAAGGCAGAGGCTTTATCCACTGAGCCACCCAGGTGCCCTGAATTTCTTCTTTTCAACCATGTCTCGCTTCTGTAGAATCTCTTTCAAAAATTATTTTGTTACTTCTTTTTTTAGTATTCCCATTTGTATCAATGGGCAGTACACATTTGTACCTCTGCTTGTCTTTACTTGAATCCGTTTATTTGAAGAGCTATTTAGAAACTTTGAGTTAATTTATAAACTGACTATAAAATTGAGTAGTTAAAAAATTACTAACAGGAGCAATCTGAGTGGATTTTGGTTAAATGTTTATATTCTAAACATAATAATTACTGAAAATGTACCTTTTCTCTGTCTTTACCCCTTGTCCATATCTATTATGACCCAGATTCTACTCTGTCTCAAAATTGAAATTAAAATGAGTAAATGCAAAGCAAGAACTTCCTTAATTGAATGTTCTATGTACTAAAGCGTTGGTACTATCCCTTTGACTTTTCAATTACTCCCTTAGAAATTTACCTTAATACAGAGAATCAGCATGTGGGCAGGTGAATAGGGAGGCTAGTGGAAACTTTGTCTATCTGCCATCTTTGAGTTTGGCCATCTCTATGCTCTTTCTGTGTTTTAGTCTCTATTGGTATGGACTTTGCTAAATGTTCTTTACATTTCAGTGTCTGTGAGTTTGGGGGCAAAGAGATGGGGTTCAGGAGTTTTGAACTAATTTATAGATGTACCCTGATGTGGTGGTTTTAGCTTGGGATAGAAAATCTTATCTGCTTATTTATCTGTGTGATATAAATCATGTTACTTTTCCTCTCCAAGTCTCAGCTCCCCACAACTAATAGAAAAAACAATGCCTGCTCTATAAGATTGTTGGAAAGTCAAATGTAATATGTATGTGTTTAAGGAAGAATAGAGTACAAAGAAGGACTCTATTTAGTAAACAGCAATTTGAACATTTATGTATTAAGTTTCATTTATTTTGCCACTTCGAGAATTAAATGGTTAGATGTATCCAAAGACAATCCAAATGATTGTTCTCATAACTTCCTAAATGAATTTCACCACTTGTTGTTTTTTTTTTTTTAATACAAACTCTTAAAAATTATGAAGGCACAGGAAAAAAGATGGCAGGATAAGTCAAATAGGAAAAAATGCAAAAGTTCAACTTATATCACAAGAAAGTATTAATTTTATTTCTTACCATGATGTGAATCTTGAATCATTATATTAAACATTTTTCTTGTGAGAAAAAAAAATGATGGAAGGTCAACTGGAAAACAAGCTATTTATTCCTCTGGACTATTTGACAAAATTCTCACTTTCCCTTACAAAATATGAACAAACTAACTCAATTAGTTCAAGTCTCTAGGTGGTACTTTTGTTTTTTTTTTTTAAGATTTTTATTTATTTATTTGACAGACAGATCACAAGTAGGCAGAGAGGCAGACGGAGAGAGAGAGGAGGAAGCAGGCTTTCCACTGAGCAGAGAGCCGGATGTGGGGCTCGATCCCAAGACCCTGGGATCATGACCTGAGCCAAAGGCAGAGGCTTTAACCCACTGAGCCACCCAGACGCCCCTAGGTGGTACTTTTCAAAAGTACTTTCCTGAAACAGCCACCACAAGAATTAGAATTATATGTTGACTTTTGCCGAGTATATACTTCTTAACTCGCCATTTTGAATTTGCAGGTATGAATGTAAGCAAGAGTGAAATAACAAAGGAAACTTCGTTGAAACCATCCAGGAGATCCCTGCCTTGCCTCGCCCAGAGCTACGCCTACTCAAAGAGTTTGAGCCAATCTACCTCACTCTTTCAGTCCACCGAGAGTGAGTCTCAGGCTCCCACTTCTGTAACCTTCATCTCCTCGGACAAAGTAGAGCCAGGTGAGCAGCTATTCCTGCTTTTTTTGTTCAACTTGCAAAAAATAAGTGTTTTCAAAGCGTTCCTTCCTTCCTTCCTTCCTTCATCTATTTTATTAGTACTTACGGAACTCATTAGCAGGAAGGCTGGCATAGAAAGGAGAACATTTCACCAGTCAGACAGGAGACATTTGTTGGCTAGCTGTGTTTTCACGTCTTTCTTGCCTTGAAAGAAGCCAACCTTGTGGGAACCTGGAGCTCGTATTTCCTGTTTGCAGGAGAAGACAGACCAGCTACCTGAATTTCTGTCTCATCGTTTCTGGAGAGAGCCTGTAACCAGTAACTGAAGAGAGTATGTCAGCAGTACTAAACTCAGTTTCTTAAAAAGAAACACCAAAGATTTTAAGTAATATTGACAATAAAGCAGTGAAGATTTAACTGCAGAAAGATGTGGTTGGACAATTATTAGCAATCAAATGTTGGCACAAAAGCCTTAGAACGAAAGAGCTGGAATACAGGGAAGTTCCAGCTGGATGCCACATTAAAGACACTTTGTGGCTGCCCTGGGCACTTTCTGCACACATCTGCCCATCTGAGACATCATTATGCTTTTAGACAATTCCTTTTCACAAAGCCAGGAGTCAAAATACAACCCAGCCCCCTATCATGCAGTAGATGAGGTGTGTTTCTACTTCCCCATCCGTCTGTAAGTTGCTTTTTTGTCTGAAAAGGATGCATTCCTTTATGATTCCTTGGGGTTGTTTCTTCCTCTGGTAACATGAAAATACCAAGATTCTCTTTTCAGTAACACTGTGAAATCACTACTAATTATAAATAAGAGCTTACATCCATGTCCAATAAGAAAAGTGGCAAATTATTCAAGAGGATGAAGGTATTGAAATAGATTGAATTGAATTGAATTGAATTGAATAAATTCAATAAATAAAATTTCAATAAATTGAAATAATAGAGATGTATCTTGCCCTTATTGAGTGAAATTTTAAATAACTAATTTCAACTCATTAACTTAAAAAATTCCTTTATGCTTAGCCATCAGTCACACATTTTACACACATCTCACATTTTTCTAAATGTTAATGTTTTTATTTCCAAAAACTATGAATGTCGATGTCTTTTTTTTTTTCCCCTCCAGTTAATGCTGAGGAGGATAAAAAAGACTCTGTGCTCAAATGCTCTTTTGCTGACCTCAGTGACTTTTGCTTGGGTAAGTAGGTTTCGAGTATTTCCTTATTCCTTTACCCCCTCTCCAAAGGTAAGCTGTCTTCTTCAAATCTAGAATATTATTTTTTAAGAAAATAATACCTGTTTGGTCTTTAATATTTGATGGATGAGTATAATATTCTCAGGTTAAAAAATGATTAAGGTATTTCATGTACAGTTTGAAATTCAAATGATACAAAATTTATAATGAACAACAATCTCATAACCAAAAACGTTTAACACTTTCTGCTATTGAGCTTTTGGAAATATCTTTTAATTCCCTATGAATAAGCACATTAATTCTGCTATTTCTAGATTTATTAAATTTCAGCAGTGTCTGTTGACCCCCCTGTGGTGTTAGATGAAGATTTAGCTTATTTACATAACCCTTCAATTTTTCATAGTTACACTATCATATAAATTTTTAAACCTCTCTGCTGATTAAATTTGTCGCTTCAAATAGCATATTTACACCTTTGTATCATATTCTATCACATTTTAACAGTATTTTTTACTCTCCACTTGGCAAATGTAGTATTGCTATGAAAATAATGCTTTTTGCAGTTATAGGATCACTTTCTTTTCTACAGTTAAAGTTGTTATGACCTCTCTGCTGCTCTTACATAGTCCTAGAGTCAAGATCAAATTGATTCCGCTTTCCAGCCCTCCATCAATCACTCAAAATCATGCCACACTAAACTTACTTTCTTGTTTATACCACTAAGTTTTGTTAGTTTTATTTTCCTAGATTATCTGTATTTTTTTTCCCTTGGGAGGAGAAAATATCTCACCTTCTGAATATTCCCATCTTTTCCAGATTCTAATTTTTATATACTTTACTTCATTCTTCTTCTTTAAGAAATTCTTGGTATTCACTGACTTTTCATTAGATATCTAGATACCTGGATTAATGCCAGTTTCTACTGTACCACATATTCCTCTTTCTTAGTTTTCAACCTCATTTTTTTTTCCCCAGAGTGTATCCTTAAGAAACTACCTCTGAGGGGCACCTGGGTGGCTCAATGGGTTAAAGCCTCTGCCTTCAGCTCAGGTCATGATCCCAGGGTCCTGGGATGGAGCCCCGCATTGCATAGGGCTTTATGCTCAGCCAGAGAGGCTTTCTGCCTCTCTGCCTACTTGTGATCTGTCTGTCAAATAAATAAATAAAATCTTTTAAAAAAATAGAAAGTAAGAAAGAAACGACCTCTGAAGGCTCATGTGAGATGCAAACTTTCTAAGTTATTGTATGTCTGAGATGACTTCAGTTCACTCTTACATTTCATTGTATTTTATAAAATCCTAAGTTGAAAATCATTTTCCTTGAAATCTGGAGACTGGATTCACTGTCACCTAGCATCCATTGTTACTGCTAAAAGCCCAATTGCTATCTGATTCTTGTTCTATTGTCATTGATTTTTTTTTCTTCTCTCTGTGCATTTTTATTATCTTTATTTTTTGTGTTACAGCATTATACAGCATTATGTTTAGGTGTGTGTGCATGTGTGTGCATTTTCTTTTATCTCATGATTTTGGTTTCTGCCTCAGTTCTGGAAGATTTCCTGCACTTTTCTTCCAAATGACTTTTCATTTCTGTGTGTGTGTGTATTGGGGGGAGGGTAAGATCATATATGTATATTTGCTTTCCAAGTCTTTTTTGTTTTCAGAAGGTAACGTTTTCAGAACATCTGTTGTATTTCATGAACATAACATCTTTAATCTCTCTAATTATACTTGTGATTTCTTAAGTTTTGTTTTTTTTTGTTGTTGTTGTTTTTTTTGTTTTGTTTTATTTTTAAGTTTTAGTCTGTTGTTCCAGTGATCCATTTTTCTGCCTGCTTCCATTAGTCATTCTCTTTAGGCTGTAGGATTTCCAACAATTTCTGGTGATCTTTGGTCATCTGCTTACATTTAAGAAAAAAAACAACAGGAAGGGTGAGTCAGAGTTCTGGGTACTTGGAGAAGTCTCAGGGAAGGAAAGCTCTCACTACAGAGTGAATGGCTAAGGAGACTTTACATAGGTGATCTACCCAATCTCAGACTGAAGACTATACTCCAGAGTGCTGATTCCCACATTACTGCTTTTGCTTTTTGTATTTCTTTTGATAAAAAGTTTGTGCTTGCATATTTTATTGTCAGGCCTTCAGTTTTCTTCAGGTTTTCACTTCTGAATCTCACTCATATCTTTGTCTACCTGCCATCTTTGAGTTTGGTTATCTCTAGGATGATTCACTGTCTTCCTGCCTCTGCACAAAATTAAGGCTAAACTATATGATCAGGGCGCCTGGACGGCTCAGTGGGTTGGGCCTCTGCCTTTGGCTCAGGTCATGATCTCGGGGTCCTGGGATCGAGTCCTGCATCAGGCTCTCTGCTCTGCAGGGAACCTGCTTCCTCTTCCCTCTCTCTGCCTGCCTCTCTGCCTACTTGTGATTTCTCTCTGTCAAATAAATAAATAAAATCTTAAAAAAAAAAAAAGATTAAACTACATGATCAGTTAACACTCTTACCTCAGAATTTTGCCTTCTAGAAAACTACTGTAGGCCTGTATCTTTAGAAAGTATTTATTATCATGTTAAGTCTCCAGAGCAAGGGACAACAAATGTACTTGAAAGCTCATTCAGCCATCTTGAACTTTGTTTCTTTATTCTACCAACAAGTTGATGATACACAGCTCTTCAGTGTGATACTTTGTTGTATAAGCCTGTATAGCACTTTGTTGTATAAGCCTATACAACAGGATGAAACCTGTACTACACTTATTTTAGAGACCTGGTATAGAATTTTACATCTAAAAATCTATTCCAAAAAATAGTATCAGAAATGAAAAATAATTTTCCTCACAGCTGCCTTAACTTAGGAATAGATGAAAATTCAATATTCTAGTAATTGTACTATAGTACATATTGTGGCATATTTCTGGGTGGGGAAAAATAGCTTAAATATAAATGTAGACCTCCCCTCATCTTAGTTAAAAATGTATTGGAAAAGAGGTAGAAAGAAAGGAACAAACATGTTAGCTAAGAGTGTGTATCTTCATGTGGTACAATTATTTGTGGTTTCTTCTTGTTGTCTGTATTTTCTTTTTTTTTCCCCTCTAAACAATATATACAAATATCATATAATGAGAATATGTAAAGAATAAATTTACATCAGAATTTTATGTAAGTAAGGAAAATTGTTCATATTTCTGTCAAAATAGCATACGTTCAATGGAGAGTTTTCAGAATTGAAACTTGAAAGTGGTTGATAGTCACCCAGTATTTGGAATAACAGTAATATTGAAAGATTCTATCCTGACCCTCGGTTTGTAGTCAGTATAATTTTTATTTATTTTTCCTATAAACAAAGATAAGTTTACTCAACCTTCTCTCTTCCCTTTTGCTATTATCATGCAAGATTTACTTCATTTGAGTGGGATTTTCATTAAGATCTGTAGCTTGCCAGACTTGGTCATGAGCAATGCCTTTGAACTTTTTTTTTTTTTTTTTGGTAATTCATAAACTGAATAGAAAGAAAAGAAAGCCAGAATTTATCAAAGAGTAATATTAATCTGTTACAACGCTTATTTTACAAACTGAGAGTGAATTTATTTATAACCTTCAGAGGGTTAGCCCTGAGTTTTCAGCAGTGAACATTTTGGTGGCCTGGCTGCACCGCCTGCATCAGTGGTTGTCAACTCTGGCTATGCATTCAAGTCACCTAGGAGCTTTTAAACCTCTGCGTCTCAGCTCCCAGGAATCAGTTTTACTTGGTCTGAGTAATGAATTCAGGATGCATACTTTTAACTGTATCCCAGGCAAATATTAAATGTAGCTAGAATTAAGAATTTCTAGCCTAGGAGCACCTGGGTGGCTCAGTGGCTAAGTGTCTGCCTTCAGCTCAGGTCATGATCCCAGGGTCCTGGGATTGAGCCCCACATCTGGCTCCCTGCTCATTGTGGAGCCTGCTTCTTTCTCTGCCTGCTCTGCAAGCTGCTCCCCCTGCTTGTGCTCTGTCTCTGTCTCTCTTTCTCTGACAAATAAATAAATAAAATCTTAGGGGGAAAAAAAAAAAAAAGAATTTCTAGCCTAAAACATGTATCTTGATTTCTCTCTGAGGACATTGTTAGGATACTTTTTCATAATTTTTTAAACAATGAGCTGTGTTATTTATCGTAGCACTCTGAATTACTGCAAATTAGTCATGTTTCTTACAATACTCACTTTTGTGTGTGTGACATAAAGACAGTGCTGGCTTATTAAGTTTCCTAATTAAAAGAAGACAGCCACCAGCAGTTTCATTTCATATAGAACATCAGTATTAAAGAGAACATTTCATTAGAACAAATACACTCAATCAGAGTACAAAGGTCTTTCCCATGGTAATTAATTCTGAAAGAGGTTATTATTGTTATTTTTCTGATAAGACAAAAATAAGAACAAAAACCTTGTCCAAAATATCCATACGGTTGATGTAGTTTACATAGCCCTTTTCATAATAATTTTCCCAAACTAATACTAGTTAATAACCTAACAATAACTCTAGCCATGCAAGCCTTTCCATTCAATTTTATGCATCTTATTTTTGATAGTGAAATAATCATGATAGTGTCATCACAAATGTTAACATTTTCTCTAAATGCTTAATGTAATTGGATGTGCTAACTCCATGAATGTTTCTCTCCTTATTCTAGTGTGTCCCAATCATCTGACACACTTGACCTGTGTTCCTGTCTCTTCAGGCATTGTACCTCACAGTCAATACTTTAGCACACCCAGCATCGATCTACCATTCATTCAACTTAGGGAATTGTCACAGCTTCTGAAGGGGTAAATATGCACACACGAGGTATTTCCCTTTACAGTGAACGTGAGAATGCAGCTCTCGCTGACGGTATCATCACCAAGCATTCCAAGAATCCATCCTGGTGTAACACCTGGCTGGAAAGTACTCCTTTTGAAACAGCCACATATCTAAAATGTATATGATTTTATCCCTTTTGAGAAGACATCAAGCAAAATGATGTCA